ATTACCCTTAGGAAAGCGTAGGCATAACTTCTAACATAACTGTCTTCGCCATTTATGTCATGTATTACGTTTCCTGTTTCACAACTTATACTACTTGAGTCTTCTGGATACTTTACACTCTTAATGGTAAGGATTTCTTTATCTGCACTGAGCTGATATTTGTTTGAAAGATTGCTTTCATCTACAAGTACATAGTTTCATAATGATTATCATATCAATATTGAAAATATCAGCTGCTCGAAATAATTTTTAAAACTAGACAAAACGCTGCATCATGTAACTTGCAGCTGATACTTTACAGCATCAATATGGAGAAAAACATCTGCATTAAACTTTGCTTCCTTTTAAAATGTTTAAAGAAAAACGACTGACAAGACATTTGGCTTATATCAATGAATTCAGCTCAAAAATATCCTGGACAATAGGGAATCGTTACATGTATATCCATTTTTTTCTAAATGGTCAAAGCTAAGAAATCGTTAATGCAAAATATAATAAAAGACTTAATATGGTGCCTTTATATTCCCTCAAAGAAAACATGTTGCTTCATATACCTGTATCATAGCCTCAATAATCAATATATTGTTATACCAGCATGCAAATCCGAAGACAATGTCAGTTTAGTGTGTAATTCACGTTATATAACAGCATGGCTTGTTCGTTGCAATGAAACCGCGTATGTTTATCTAAACTGTACTAGACGTATGACATTTTTACTGTGAACATTTCTTCACCTCGGACGGGGCGAATCGGGTTTTTATCCTTACAATTTCAAAGGTCTGTTAGTGAACAATTATTCAAAGTGTATCTTTGAGATCAATTTTTTGAAACAATATGGCTGCACAACCCTTTACTCTAACAGTAAAGACACACTGAATCAAATACTCTACCTGTGTTTCTTGATAAGGCTACTGTAGATATAAATAAAGAAGAAACACTATTCTGTATAAAAAAGGCTTTTCTGCTTGTATTAACGGTCACTGAAATTACAGGGCTTCTCGAGAAGATTTGTAAGAAAGTCGCATATCCTTTAGCTTCAGGTTCAAATATAAACACCTAGCATTGTTTCTGATATCTGTCTTGTAATGAGAGATATGAAGTACATAGAATGTATAACAAAAGGGAGATACCTATTAAAATAGCAATGGAATAAATAGGAAATTTAAGAACAAATTAATCGCATAAGATCAAAGAGATTTTTCAAAAGTGATTTAATATTTTTCAGTTGTATCAGTAATTAAATGAAATGATACCATAACATCTCTGCTTCATCTTTTATTAAATGTGTCACCATTAAAAAGGATCTTGCCTGAGTTTAGCTCACCTGGCCTTAAGGCCATATCAGCTTTTACCATCACGGCCAGTCCGTCGACGTTAACTTTAGTAAAAATAAATCTCCTCTGAAACAATTAGGCGAAATGATACCAATCTTATCTGTATGGTCCTTAGTGAATCTAGTTTTAAAATGTATTCTGGAATTTCATCAATCAACAACGTGGCTGCTGTTGTTAAAAATAGCACGAATTGGATAAACTGCATGTTTGGCATTTATCTCAAAAACTAAAACAGTTATAGCAAAACAGATATGGGGTTGAAATAATGACATACCAAGTTTTATCTGTTCGGAAATTTTCAGAAAAATGGACGATCTACTTTTGGGATATTGTCATCGAAAAGTCCATAACACAGTTCAATACGTGAAGATGGTCGAAATTGTCAATTGACCCCATATAGTTGTTATTGCCCTTAAAACTCAATTTTTACTTATTTTTTTTTTTGCGTTTTTGCAGAAACTATGATAGGGAGAATCTGTAAACAAAAATAAATGTTCAGCAAAATAAGATCTACAAATCTGTTAGAAAATGGCCGGAATTGTCAATCCAACCCACATATGAGTGTTTGCCCTAGAAAGACTATTTTTACTCATGATTGAAACTATGTTAAATAGAGAAATTGAAAACAACTAATATGTTCAACACATTGGTCATATGGCTGAAATCGTCAATTGGTCCCGCATATGAGTTTTTGTCCTTGAGAGACGATTTTTATCTTTTATAATTGTTTTTCTTTTAGAAACTGTAGGAGATGGAGAAAATTGTAATAAAAAAAGTGTGCAGCACAATTAGATCAACAGAAGTGCAACATGACCAACATTTTCAATCAACCCCTATTATGATTTATTACACTTTAAAAAGCGCTTCGGACGCATGAAATTATTAAACGTGTTGTTTTCAATTTTTTTAAAGACGATTTTTACTCTTTTTTTTCGATTTTTTTGAAGAAAATTAGTTCTAACACAAGGTTTGCCTTAGCCGTATTTGGCACAACTTTCGGTTATTAATGCTCTTCAGCTTTGTGTTTGATTTTGTTTTCGTAATGTTTTGAATTGAGCGCTACTGATGTCTTATGTGGACGAAACGCGTGTCTGGCGTACCAAATTATAAATCTGGTATATTCAACGAGTTTTTATATACTAGCTTAGAGAAACTGTACACAACACAATAAGATCTTCAGATAGATCATAATTATGGCCGAAATCTTAAATTGACCCCTTATATGAGTCCTTCAAATTGAAAGACGATTTCTATCTTTATTTGCGTTTTTGCACCAAAACAATAGAGAGAAATATAATAGAAATATTGTTCAACACAATAAGATCGTCAAATAAGTGCAAAATGACCGGTAATGTCGAGCAACCTCTTATAATAGGAAATATTGCCATTGAAACAGTTTTTTTTTTATATTTTTTACATTTTTGCAGAGACTATGATTGATAGAGAGAAACTATTTACAGCAAAAATGTTCAGTACAATAAAATGTACAATTAATTCAAATTACGGAAATGGTCAATTATTTGCAGACACTAAACGACGGAGAGAAACTATATATAGCAAAAATATTCAGAACAAAGATCTACAAAAAAGTTAAACACGATCGAAATATAAAATTGATTCCTTACAGGTGTTATTGTCCTTGATGGATGACTTCTACCCATTTGTTGCCGAATTCATTGCAGGTAGAAAGAACCTATTTACAGTAAAAATCAGCAAAATGACATCTACAAATCAGTCAAGGAGAGGCAAAGGATACCAAAGGGACATTCAAACTCATAAGTCGAAAATAAACTGACAACGTCATGGCTAAAAAAGAAAAAGATTAACAGTCAAACAACAGTACACAAAATACAACATAGAAAACCAAAGACTGAGCAACACGAACGTGACACAAATAGTCAACAGACACCTAATAAGGTTTTTGCCCTTCAACGACGACCTTTACCATTTTTTTAAAGAAACTTCACCAAGAATTCAATATATATTAATTTCATCAAGGATACCAGGTTTATAAATTTGTACGCCAGACGCGTGTTTCGTCTTCACAAGACTCATCAGTGACGCTTGAATTAAAGAAGTTGAAAAGACAAATAAAGTGCAAATTTGTAGAGCATTTGGGACCCCAAATTCCAAAAGATTTTGCCAAATACAACTAAGGTAATCTATTCCTGGAGTCGAAAATCCTTCTTATTTCGGACAATTTAAAGTTATGTAAACAGTTAACTTATAAATACCATTTTTACTTTTAATCTCAAAAATAAACTTAAAACGGTCATGGATATCTCGTACTATGAACAACAAATTTATTTATTTTGTAAAAAAATATCTCCGTACTCCCAACAACAAAATTATTATATTTAAATTTACCTGTGTACGTTATTTTATTTAACGCCATTTTGTCCCAGGTTATAGTTGTCTTTTTGACATTGTTTTACATCCCCCTTTTTTATTAGTATTGTATTTATATTGTGTCATAAGTCAAATTTATTCATTCAGTGTATGTTTGCTTGTTTTTGTTTATATGTCTCTTTGATTGAGTTTAGTCATGTCAATTGATATTTTATAGTGTGTCTTTTTATGTTGTAATGTTACACTACTATTTCAGGTTAGGGTGAAGGTTGGCCCCTGTTAAAACGTTTCAACCCGCTGCATTTTTATGCACCTGTCCTAAGTCAGGAGCCTGTTGTTCAGTGGTTGTCATTTGTTAATGTGGTTCTTAAGTGTTTCACGTTTTTATATAGATTTGACCGTTGGTTTTCCTGTTTTAAATTGTTTTACACTAGTAATTTTGGGGCCCTTTATAGCTTGCAGTTCGGTGTGAGCCAAGGCTCCGTGTTGAAGGCCGTACTTTGACCTATATTTGTTAACTTTTTACACACTGTGACTTGGATGGAGAGTTGTCTCATTGGCACTCATACCACATCTTCTTTCTATAAGCAAAATGATCAACAAGACAGATTGTGGTACTCATAGTTTCGCTTTAACACTCATGTTGCATTTTTCATTTGTTGGGCTCCTGGGGGTCTCTTGTAAAAATATCTGTGCTCAAATAAAGGGATAGCTTGAAATCACGTAGTATAGTATTATCAAATTTGTAAATGTAAGATGAGTGATAGGACAAAATTGCAGAAACTATACGAGATAGAGAGCAAATGTAAATAGCAAACATTTCTGCACAAGAAGATCCACAAATAAGACAACATGGCCAAATAGTTATCAAAGGTACCAGGATTATAATTTAATACGCCAGACGCGCGTTTCGTCTACATAAGACTCATCAGTGACGCTCAGATCAAAATAGTTATAAAGCCAAAAAAGTACAATTGAAGAGCATTGAGGACCCAAAATTCCAAAAAGTTGTGCCAAATACAACTAAGGTAATCTATTCCTTGGATAAGAAAATCCTGAGTTTTTCGAAATATTCAAAGTTTTGTAACAGGAAATTTATAAAAATAAAAATCGTAAATTGATTTCTTGAATGCTGATTTGAACCAATTTTTGTCGAAACTATATCAAATAGAGTACAGAAATGCCTTCGGACGCACGAAATTTAAGTGCTATTGACTTTATAATGTTTTTTAGTGGACCGTGTAATGAATTGGATCTATTATATATACATTAGTTGCATTGTTCCTTCTTTATCGTTTTATATCCATAAATTGCTTGTCATATGGAGAAAAGGTAAGAAAACTCACATTGCCCATGATACAATTCTTTTCCATTTCGTCTCCAAATAGGCACTGAAGGTGGGTTTTCAAAAGGAAGAGATTCCATTTTGCACTTAAACACAGCATTTTGACCATCCGAGATAACTTGGGATTTTAGTGTTTCATCTTCTTGAAAAATCGGTTTAGCTAATTAATATAAAAGTAATTTTAATAAAGTGAATTATACAAAGTCGAATTTATAATTTGTGTACACATAATTCTGTTTTCATTCTTTCATTTAACATTTTCACAGTCGATTTTGCCTGAGACTAGCCTTTGGTTCATTATGTAGTAATTAATGATTGGTCCCTTTTGGTAATATATTTCTGACGTATTTAAGTAATTGTCATCCACGATTCTCACATCTCGGCTTTGACCGTTCCTGGTAGAGGTAATCAACAAAAGCGCTTCGGACTTACAAAATATATTAAGTACTTTGACCTGAAATTGTTAACTTTTTATACATTGTGACCTAGATGGAGAGTTGTCTCATTGGCACTCATACCACATCTTCTTTTTATAAGGATTATTTCATTCAATAGTGCATTTTGATCAACTATGACACATGAATGGATTGAGACAGGAACGATACCTTCCGAAATCTAACTATTGATACAAATCAGAGTTTCATGTAGAGTTTAATCAGATTTTTTAAATTTCTTTTCGCGTTGCTCAACATTTATTTTTCTGTGTACCAGAATGTTCTTTGTCGATTTATCTTTATTATTTGGTAAATGGTTTTCTTATGCATTTCTTCTTTCTTTAACTTATTTCTTTCATTAGCTCCTAGTTATATTCTATCTATAACATGAAATAATTTAGATCCCTATTGATACTTACATGTTACATTGACATAAATACGAGCTTGAGCAGTACCAAGTACGTTGACGCCTTGGCAAATATAAGTTCCTTCATCGGTTATATTTAATTTTTTTATTCTCAGGTTTCTCCTGACACTAGGATCAGTGAATTGATATCTGTCACTTGGTTGAATTGGTTGATTGAAACCTGACAAATACCATACAATATCTGGAAGGGGACTACCATGAAATAAACAGTTTAATAAATAACTGTATCATACTTAAAATGGTGGAAATTTGTAAATAGCAACCTAACATTGAAAAATAGATCAGAATAATTGAAAAAGGCAAACTATGGAAAACTCAACTGTAATTCAAAATCAAGAGAGCAACAAAAAATTGTTGAGGCAAATAAAAAAGAATAGAAATGAGTACTCCTGAAAAATTTGATCAATATCTCAGTATAAAAGAATTCTTAATGACAGTAAGGTAAATACTATAGTTCACATAAAATTGGATGTTTATGGCAGAAACATAGAAACCTTTTTAGAGTGTACTATTCTCTTGTGATTTGACATATTATCAATATCTACATATTTTAATAAAACAAAAGAGATGTTACTTTACTTATCCATGTGATGTTTTGTTATTGTTGTTTGTCCTTTCGTTGTTTATATTTTTCCCCATGGCCAATACCCGTTTTTCATTGGACTTATGATTTTTAATGCTCCCTTGGTATCTTTTCTCTATTTTTCAAATGAGCATTCCAGATTTTTTTGAATACCATATAGTATTTTTCTTTTTTGTTATTAAAAACATGTTTTCGTCATCAACTTCTCTTTTAGTCTGACATTTTTCATGTCAAAAGTAGGAAGATGATGAATATATGTTTGAAGTTTGTAAAGTTTTAGTGTTTCTTGTAAATAGAAAGCAATTTTCCTGTTTTAAGAGCCAATAATGACAATGAATAGTTTGCCTTTTCATGAAGCGGTCAATATGATAACTACCAAGTTCTGATCTTACAGCTATATAAAAGGATCATTATTAGTCCTCTGCCGACGAAGTCGAAGGGGACTTTAGGTTTGCACTCCGTCCGTCGGTCTGTCTGTCTGTCTGTCTGTCTGTCCGTCTGTCTTTCTGTCCATCCGTCAGTCCGGCAAATCAGTTTTCCACACATATTTCTTCGTGCTTAAAGATATTGATTTGATATTTGGTGTATTGTTTTATCATGACAAGTTACAGATCAAGTTCGAATTTTGTTCCGGTATGATGATTTTGTGCAGAGTTATGGTCCTTGGACTTACAAAGTTCACTCAAAATATCAGTTTTGCTCACTTTTTTCGTCATGCTTGAAGATATTGATTTGATAATTGGTATAAAGTTTTATCATGACAAGTTACAGACCAAGTTTGGGTTTTGTTCCGATCTGATGATTTTGTGCAGAGTTATGGTCCTCGGACTTAAAAAATTCACTTAAATAATCATTTTCCACACTTTTTTGCGTCATGCTTGAAGATATTGACTTGAAATTTGTTCTATAGTTTACACCGAGACAAGTTATAGATCAAGTTAGCATTTTGTTCCAGTGCAATGAATTTTTAACCGGTAGGGGACTATGTATTGCCATGCAATACTCTCAGAATGCTTGTTTAATCATAATGTTAGTTTTTTAAACCTTTTAAATACCATTTGATTGGACTTTTGCCAATAAAACTAAGAGTGTCTACTTTTTTTATTGTTTTAATTTCTCTACTGTAAAAAGTGGAATAAATATCCGTATACCGTATTTTACTGGTAAAAATAATATATTTGTCTTTAAATTGAGTTGTATAAATGGTTTGACAAAGTCAGTAGTGTTTTATATAATGAATTAAACTGTTGTTATATATTACATTTCTTATTTTTGCCTGTTACCTTGAAAACTATAATAAAAAGAGAGAAACTTTAAATTGCAAAAATTATAAGTAAGACAAGTTCTTCAAATAAGTCAAATAACCGAAATCGTTTGCTGACTTCTTATAGGAGTTATTGCCCCTACATTACGAAGTTGCATTTTTGGGGCATTTTTACTTATTATACAGCAATAAAAACCAACATGACAGTTCCTACAAATATTTCAAGATGTAAAAACCTTTGGTTGACCCTTTAAAGGAGTTATTGTTCATTATTGACGATTTTTACCCATCAGTGCATATTTTTCCAAAACTATACTAGATAAAGAAAACATATAGCCAGTAAACATGATCACAAAGACATTATTTGCAAATATATAAAAATACAAAAATTGTCAACTCTTTTTGAGTTATTGTCATTGAATACTGATTGATTTTAACAAATACTATAACAGATAAAGAAAAAAAAACTGTACATAGCAAAATGATTTGCAAGACACGATCTACTAAGAGTGACATTGCGGAAATATCAGTGGACTCCTTATAGGAGATATTGTTCTTAATTGACGTTTTTCACCCTTTTGGTGTGTTGGGCAAAACATTATAGAAGATAAAGAGAAACTGTAAACCACAAAAGTGACCAGCAAGACAAGATCTACAAATTTTTCAACAAAGCCGAAATTGTAAGCACACTTCTTGATTTTTTTATCTTTTTTTGCATTTTTGTCAAACACTATAGTAGATAGAGAGAAACTGAAAACAGAAAAATTGATCAGCAATATAAGATAACAGTAAAAAAAGTTGAGTCATATGTTATATTTTAGTCTTTAATATTAGATGGAAGCTATTGGTGAAGATGCATATAGATCCAGGCGACCGACACAGGCTCTTAAAGCCTATAGTTGATAGTTGTTTTATGATTATTATTTCTATTTTTACCGTTGATGTTGTTTCTGATACTATTTTATGTTTTTCACTCAGTAAATAGACATAGAAAAAACGCAATGATGACTAAAACAGCTGAAAATATGATTCTGAGTCTTTGTATTTATTATACATTACAATATTACATATGGTTACATTTTTCTTGTTTCTCATTGGTTTATTGGATCACGTGTTGCCCAATATATATTTTGTAATTTTCACTATTTTGACATATTGACTCGACATTACTATTAAAATAGTAACATCGAGTCTATATCATTTCCAAACATAGTAACTTGAGTCAATATCATTTCCAAACATAATAACATTGAGTCAATACAATTTTCAAACTTACTCTATTTACATACGTAATATATAAATTAAGGATTTTCACTCAGTCAACACGTTATATATAGACCAGTCAGCCTTCGTCCTTGGTCAATATAATCTGAACAGGTCCATATATAACATATTGACCTCGTCAAAAGTCCGTTATTAATAAATGTTTATGACGCCTGTAGCCCACCATTTTCTTCGGAAAATGCTTGTACCAAGTCAGGAATATGACAGTTGTTTTCCATTCGTGTCTAGGGCTGATATATTTAGGTGTTTGATTTTTTCAGGTATTATTGAATTTCCCTTGGAGTTCGTTATTTTGTTAATTTATCCATACATTGAATGCTTTTAATTGGACTGGATAAGAAGTAATTAAGATATTGGAAAACATAATTTATCTACTACTTGTTATTAGCTTTGAACTACGAGTATTCTTTAATTGATACTTAGTATCCTTCCTATTTTAGTTATTTGTTTTGTTTCTTTTTGATCTGATAATTCCTTTTACAACTGATCTTTACAGTTTGTTCTTATGGTGTGCTGTTACAACACCGTTTATGTTAGGAGAGATTTGAGGGCTTGCAAATATTTTCAAACCGCCACACTTTGAATGTGCCTGTCCCAATTCAGAAACCTTCTTTTGAGTGTTTTTTGTAGTTCGCTGTTTGTTATATTTTGATTGCATATCATCATTTATTTTTTAACGTTTGGCATTATAATGTCAGAGCTTTTTATAGTTTACCGTACTTACTTACATCCACGTCCTTTTGTCTCTTGAGGGAAGTTGGCTCATTGAAAATCATACCACATCTTCGTATCTTAATAAAACTTACTATCCGGAAAAAATGCACTGTAGTTCAGCATCTCCCCCAAGTAAACCCTGAACATTCTGTGAGAAAAGTAGCAGTGGTGTAACTTGAGTAGGGTTGGTAACTGAAATAAAATTTAGAAAAATAATTAAGCGCTTACGTATCAACTCAGTATTTAAAAGGTGAGTATAAAAACCCGTTCTCACAGATTAGTGAATGAGTTTAATAAAAACGGCACAGAAAAACATCTGTTTTATGCTTGGTTGGTTAATATTTAAAAGCCAATGAGAGAGAATGCGATCTATGGCGTCAACAAGAGAATCTCGTTGGGTGTAAGACGATGGAAAACAATAGAATGGTTATATATTCCATAGTCTAGACCATTT